GAACCCGCAGCCCGTGAGCACATGCGCAGAGCCATCTTTAGGGCCAGGAGACCCAGCAAGACCACAAGCACACATCTCCTCCACTCTCAGGAGTGCAGCGGGCCTCCAGGGCAGAGCTACAGCCGAGCAGCCGTGGGCAGGGGCAGTGGGCAAACTCTGGGCTTCCTCCCCTCTCTGTCCCCCATGAGGTGATTGGCCAGAGGATACAGATATCCTTCCGCACTGTCTCTGAAAGTCATTCTTGATACAGTTCTCATATGAGCTAGAGATCAGGGTGCCCCAGAGGGAACTTCCACCCCCCCCCACCTCGAAACACAGGCTCCAGCAGTGGCGGGAGAAGAACCACTCCGGAGTGGATGGGTGGGTTATGACCCTGCAGCTGTGCACGTTTAGGCCTCCAACCTCAGGTGGCCCTTCTCAGATTTTGGTAATCGGAAAGCTAACCACGCCCCTTTTCTCAGAAGATCCCCAACGCCTTACGGGGTTGGTGGAGTGCTTCATGTTCTCTCACCAGCCTATTTGAGATGATTGTCAACAGCTGCTGCTAGAGGCTACAAAAAAAAAATTGCCCCTAGGGCCAACCGGGGGCAGCCCACACAGCTACAAAATGAGATTGACACAGGATTCCCTTGGCTCATCCTAATTGAGACTTCAATACTGCTAAAGGTAGGGAAAGCTTGAAAGTCTATCACTAGGCTCTGGTGGCAGCCCAACAATTTCGCTAAAGCAAAGAGAGCACTCTTTTTGACCCTACCTCAGATGCCCAGGAAGCTTCGATGGCTGCAGTCTTCATAGGGCAATGGGTTCCAGATATTAGGTAAGAAACTCCAGAGACTGGAAGGGTTACAGGAAGCTGAGTTACATGATTTAGTGAAAGGCAGAAAAAGTGTATTACAAAAGGGTGACCGAGAAGAGAAGGCAAGACAGAGGAAGTGTACTGAAGGGACAGAGAAGAGAGAGAAACAAAAAGAATAGGAGAGAAGTGTATTGAAAGGACGGAGAAGAGAAGGAGAGAAAAGAGAGAGAAATAGGCATGGCAGAAGAGAGGAAAAGAATTGACTAAAATCTTGGCTGTAGTGGTTGAAGGGAAAAACAGTAGAGAGAGAGAAGTTAAAAAATTTTAAACAGGGAACCTGGGCAACAGGACCCCGCTTGAAAAGGACCAGTGTGCATATTGTAAAGAGAAAGGGCACTGGGCAAAGGACTGCCCCAAGAAGAGAAACAAGGTATCTGGGTCCTAGCCCTGGAGAAAGATGAAGATTAGGGGAGATGGGGTTCAGAACCCCTCCTCGAGCCCAGAGTAACTTTGAAAGTAGAGGGGTAACCAGTTAAACTTTTGGTAGATACAAGAGCAGAGCATTCCGTGCTGATACAGCCATTAAAAAAAAATTAAAAGACAAAAAGTCTTGGGTAACGGGTGCCACAGGGCAAAAGCAGTATTCATGGACTACCCGAAGAACAGTGGACCTTGCTTGGTGTGGGCCGGGTATCCCACTTGTTTGAGGTTATATCCGTAGCCAACTGCTTTTTGCCTTTGGATGGAGGACCCTGACATGGGCAGAGCTGAGCAGCTCACCTGGACCTGACTGCCTCAAGGGTTCAAAAACCCCATGACTATCTTTAATGAGGCCCTTTATAAAGACCTCGCCAGCTTCAGAATTCAACACCCCCAGGTGGCCCTTCTCCAGTATATGGATGACACACTTCTAGTGGGAGCCTCCCAACAGGACTGCTTGGAAGGAACAAAAGCACTGCTGCTGGAATTTCCTGACCTGGGCTATCCAGCCTCAGATGTGCCGAAGGCCCAGATGTGCCGAAGGCCCAGATGTGCCGAAGAGAGGTAAAGTACCTGGGGGTACAGACTACAGCACGGGCAATGATAGCTGCAAGAGGCTCAGAAGAGAACTGGAGTCCAGATACCAGCCCCAACCATGGCCAGGCAACTAAGAGAATTTCTGGGGATAGCTGGGTTTTGCAGGCTATGGATCCCAGGTTTCATAACATAAGCAACTCCACTCGACCTGCTGACTAAAGAAAAAAAAAAATTCTCCTGGGTCCCAGAACATCAGGAGGCATTGATGCCATTAAAAAGGCCCTGCTGAGTGTACCTGCTTTAGCCCTCCCTGTTCAACTAAACCTTTTACCCTTTATGTGGATGAGCATAAAAGGGTAGCCTGGGGAGTTTTATCCCAATCCCTCCATGGAACAGACCAATTGCTTATCTGTCAAAGAAGCTTGATCCTGTAGCCAGGGGATGGCCTGGCTGTCTAAAAGCTACTGTGGCCATAGCTGCACTGGTAAAAGACACTCACAAGTTGACTTTGGGGCAGAAAGTAACTATAATACACCCCCCATACATTGGAGAGCATTGTCAAGAAGCCCCCAGACCGATGGATGACCAATGCCCGCATGACTCACTACCAAAGCCTATTTCTCAGCATTCGCTCCACCAGCTACCCTAAACCCCACCACTCTTCTGCCTGATGAGACTGATGAACCAGTGACTCATGACTGCCATCAAGTGTTGGTTGAACAGCCTGGGGGTCACAAAGATCTTACAGACATCGTGCTGGCCTGGGAGGCATTGACCTGGTTCACTGATGGGAGAAGTTACATGGTTAAAGGTAAAAGAAGGGCTAGAGTGGCAGTGGTGGACAGAACCTGCACACTCTGGGCCAGCAGCCTGCCGGAAGGAACCTTAGCACAAAAACCTGAGCTCAAGGCCCTTACACAAGCCTTGCGGCTAGCCAAAGAGAAGTCTATAAACATTACACGGGCAATGGGTATGCCTTTGCAACTGTGCATGTGCACAGGGCTAGCTATAAACAATAGGGGCTACCTCACCTGTGGTGGCTAAAAAAATTACTGAAGAAAATTATCCAAAGATTTAAAATACCTAAGGTAGTAAGATCAGACAATGGTCCAGTTTTTGTTGCCCTGGTAAGTCAGGGACTGGCTAAGACATTGGGGATTGATTTAAATTATATTGTACATACAGACCCCAAAGCTCAGGTAGAAAGGATAAATAAAACCATTAAAGAGACCTTCACTAAATTGACTATGGAGAATGGCATTAATGATTGGATAGATCTCCTACCCTTTGTGGTTTTCAGGGTTAGAAACACCCCTGGACTGTTTGGGCTGACGCCCTACTACTGGCTCTATGGGGGGGGCTCCACTGTTGGAAATTGCTTCTGTACATAGTGCTGATGTGCTGTTCTCCCAGCCTCTGTTTGCTAGGCTCAAGGTGCTTGAATGGGTGAGACAGTGAGTGTGGAAGCAACTCCAAGAGGCATACTAGGAGACTTAGAAGTTCCACATCGCTTCCAAGTTGTAGATTCAGCCTATGTTAGATGTCACTGAACAGGAAACCTTGAGACTCGGTGAAAAGGCCCACTTTGCGGACGGTCCAGAATATGTCCTCTTCCCCTGGACCCACCCCCACTCCACTCAAGGTTATAGGACTCAGGGACTTCCTCTTACAACTGCTCATTTTTATTCCTCTCTTGTTGTTTACTGTTGGAAAAATTGTTACTTTTGATAGGAAACGAGTGAGTGCTGTCCAGATTATGGTACTGAGACAACAGTACCAGAACCTTCAGAGCCAAGAGGAGGCTGCCCTTTAATCCTCCCAGTTCTAAGATTAGAACTATTAACAAGAGAAGATGTGAGGAATATAAGGATGGAAAAATACAGCCTAACTCTCCAATGACCCCAGGAAGCCAAAGGTTTAAAAATACTAAATACCTTAAATTCCAGACGCTGTCCTCAGCCAGTAAATAGGCGAAAAGCCACACTCCTTGCCACTTACCTGACTTTGTAAACTGCTTGTGAAACCCCTGCTCCAGTGATCTAACCTAACTGCCATTTGTCACCCTACATGTCACCCACCATGCATATTGCCTGTTTTAAAAAAGTTTGAGCTGCTCCTGCCAACTTGCCAAGGTCAAGTTCTGGGAAAGTACAGGAGGGGAACCAGATGTTCCTCTCATCTGACGCCAACCAGATATCTATGGTCTGCAGCTTGGACCAAAGCAAGGACAGCAGGATGATATCCAGGAACTGAAGGTCCTGGGAGCATTTTATCAAGACCACCAGAGTGCTGAGGTAGTCACAGCTGAATTCTTTGTGCCAAACATCTCTGTCCTTGGAAGACCCCAATTGCCTGAATTAAATGGACCAATGAAATCCCTGTAACCATGCTTCTGCTTCTGTAAGCCTGCTTCTTGCCACCCCAACCCTATATAAACTGCATATGCTTTAACCACACATGCTCCTCAGTCTGCCGAAAGACTGAAGCGTCCACAGGTACCTGTTTGTAAACATTAAACAGCCTCTTGCACTTGCATCCAGTGGTCTAGTCTCGTCTCTTGGGGCAGGGGCCTCCCCCTGACAGATTCCAAACTCTTGGGGTCTTTCATTGGAGGTCCCACCGAGATTGGAGACCCTTCCCCGGAGACGGACACTGCACCCACAGGGAGGTAAGCTGGCCAGTGCTTAATTTCTGTACTTTGTTGCCTCATGTCTTACTTGTTGCTCAGAGATCGGTAATCTGCTAGTCCAGTCTGTTCGGTAATCAGCTAGTCATGTCTGTAGGAGACTTGAGGAGCTGACAGGCTCGGACTTCTCCCCTGCCACCCTGGGAGATGTTCCAGGGATTTGGGGTGCCCGATTTTTCGGCACCCACAAGTCCCAGGGATCCATGGCTTTGGAGGGGCCAGGGGGCTTAATACCCTCTGTGCCTCCAACTCAGTATCTGGTTTCAGTTTTATGCCAAAGGCGCGCTGCAGGTCTTGGTGCTGGCTGTCTGTGTCTTTGTGTTCTGTCTGTCTTGTCTATCTACTGGCTTCTTTATTTTGAAAAAGACATGGGTAATCTGTAACTACTCCTTTGAGTCTGACCATAGATCACTGGAGCGAAGTCCAGGGCTGAGCGCACAACCAGTCAGTTGAAGAAAAAGAGATGGCAAACCCTGTGTGCTTCCAAGTGGCCCACAATCAATGTCGGCTGGCCCCAGGATAGAACATTTGACCTTGGTATTATCTTGCAGGAACGAGTCTTCGTCGCCGGGCCCCCACGGCCGTCCTGACCAGGTGGTCTATATTGTCACCTGGGAAGATTTGGCCTCTGACCCACCCCCTTGGGTGGCTCCCTTTGTCACCCCCAAACCCCCTTCTCAATCTCTCCCCGAGACGGATGCGGCCCCACTTTCACAGGGACCCACTGCTCCCCCTTTGCCTTCTTCTGTACCACTCATTCCCTCTCAGGCACCTGCCAAATCTCAATTATATCCTGTCCTCAAGAAAGTGAAAACCCCTCACTCCAAACCTATTCTTCCTGTCGATGAATCTGTTCTTATGGATTTGCTTTCAGAAGACGGAGACCCCCCACCATATCAGCCCCCTACCCAGGGCACTGTAGGTGGTGGCGATGCCCGGCAAAGGGGTCCGGACAAACCAGACAGTACCACTCCTACCCTGGATAACGGACAAAAAGAGACTGTTAGAGACTCCCAGGTAGCTGGCAGACTCCGTGGTCGAAGGGAGACAGCCACGGAAGGAACCTCCCGAGCCTTTCCCCTGCGCCAAACTGCTGGACAAGGAGGCCAATTTCAATACTGGCCTTTCTCGGCGTCAGACCTTTATAATTGGAAATCTAACAACCCCTCCTTCTCCAAGAACCCTGTAGCTCTCTCTAACCTAATTGAATCCATTCTAATAACCCATCAACCCACTTGGGATCACTGCCAACAGCTTTTGCAGGTCCTCCTAAACTCGGAAGAAAAACGAGTCTTCCTGGAAGCCCGGAAGAATGTCTTGGGGGATGACGGGAGGCCCACTCAGTTGCCTAATGAAATTGAGGAAGCATTTCCCTTAACTCGCCCCGACTGGGACTTCAACACCGCTGCAGGTAGGGTCACCTACGTCTTTATCGCCAGTTACTCATAGCGGGCCTCCGCGGCGCGGGACACGGCCCCACAAATTTGGCTCAGGTAAGACAGATAATCCAGGGACCAGAGGAAACTCCGACTGCATTTTTGGAAAAGTTAAAGGAAGCCTACCGTATATATACACCCTTTGATCCTGACAGTAATGAACAAAGGGGCAATGTTTCTATGGCTTTCATTTGGCAGTCAGCTCCAGATATTAGGACTAAGTTGCAGAGACAAGATAATTTACAAGATTATAGCCTGCAGGATCTCGTAAAGGAAGCAGAAAAGATCTTTAATAAGAGAGAGACCCCTGAGGAAAAAGAAGAAAGACTTAGAAAGTTGCAGGAAGAAAAAGAGGACAAGTTAAAAAAGGAGCTAGAGGAGAGAGAGAGAGGGATGGTAAGAACTGGAGAGAATTAAGCAAAATCCTGGCCACTGTAGCTCAGAATAATCATAATGCAGGAAGTCAGAAAAGAAAGGGAGAGGAAAGGAGGCCCTGGGTAAATCGAGACCAATGTGCCTACTGCAAAGGAAAAGGCCATTGGGTCAAAGATTGCCCTAAAAGACCTAGAAATCAGAGGCGTGGGGACAGACCCCGAAGACCAACTCAGCTTCTAGCCCTAGATGAAGACTAGGGCGGTTGGGGCCAGGAGCCCTCCCCCCGGGCCCAGGCTAACCTTAAGAGTCGGGGGGCAACCAGTCACCTTCCTGGTAGACACTGGAGCCCAACATTCGGTTCTCACTGAAATGAACGGGCCACTGGGTACCAAAACAGATTGGGTACAAGGAGCCACCGGAGGAAAACAATACCGTTGGACCACGGAGAGAAAAGTTCACCTCACATCAGGTAAAAATCTCACATTACTTTTTGCATGTACCAGACTGCCCATATCCATTACTGGGCCGAAATTTACTGACTAAATTAAAGTCCCAGATCCATTTTGAAGGATCAGGAGCCAAAGTCTCTGGCCCACAAGGGGCTCCACTTCAAATATTGACTTTACAATTGGAAAATGAATATAGGCTTTTTGAAAAGCCTCCTGAGCAGCAAGAAGGAATGGACTTATGGTTAAAACAATACCCCCTTGCATGGGCAGAAAAAGGGGCCATGGGGCTGGCCATACAACAGCCACCCCTAATAATTCTCTTGAAGGCAACAGCCATCCCTGTCTCAATTAAGCAGTATCCTATGTCAAATGAGGCATATCAAGGAATCAAGCCCCACATTAAGAGACTATTAGACCAGGGGATCTTGATCCCCTGCCGATCCCCATGGAATACTCTACTTCTCCCTGTAAAAAAAAAAAAAAAAAAAAAAAAAAAAAAAAAAAAAAAAGCCAGGAACCGGGGATTACAGGCCAGTCCAAGATCTTAGGGAAGTCAACCAGCAAGTGGAGGACATTCACCCCAAGGTGCCAAATCCCTATAACCTACTAAGCACCCTGCCTCCTACTCATCCCTGGTACACTGTTCTGGACCTAAAGGATGCTTTCTTTTGCCTGAGGCTGAGTCAGTCTTTATTTGCTTTTGAATGGAAGGATCCAGAATTGGGCATTTCAGACCTGGACATGCCTACCCCAAGGGTTCAAGAATAGCCCCACTCCCTTTGATGAGGTCCTGGCAGATTTCCGGATCAGGCATCCATCTCTGATCCTGCTGCAATACGTGGATGACCTCCTCCTTGTGGCCACCACGGAACAGGACTGCAAAACAGGTACCGGGGCCCTATTGCGAACACTGGGGAACCTAGGGTACTGAGCATCTGCCAAAAAGGCTCAAATATACAGACAGGAAGTCACCTATTTGGGATACAAGCTAATGGATAGGCAAGGATGGTTGACACCTGCCCGCAAAGAAACCATATCTTGCATACCCATCCCCATAAACCAATGTCAGCTTAGGGAATTCTTGGGGACTGTGGGCTTCTGTAGACTCTGGATTCCAGGGTTCACAGACATAGCGGCCCCCATTTACCCGTTAACCAAGCAAGACACACCTTCTGACTGGACTGAGGAACAACAGCAGGCTTTTGATACTATCAAGCAGGCCCTGCTGTCATCACGGGCCCTGGGCTTGCCAGACATCACCAAGCCTTTTGAACTCTTTGTTGATGAAAAATAGGGCTATGCAAAAAGAGTCTTAACCCAAAAGTTAGGACCCTGGAAATGGCCCATTGCCTATTTGTCTAAGAAATTAGACCCCATGTCTCCTAATGGTGGCGGCAATTGCCATCCTAATCAAGGACGACACTAAATTGACTCTGGGACAGCCAATGATCATACTGGTGCCACATGCAGTGGAGTCCCTCATCCGTCAGCCACCAGATAGATAGCTATCTAACGCCCGTCTAACTCACTACCAATCCCTGCTCCTGGATATAGACAGGGTCCAGTTCGGGCCAGTAGTAGCCCTGAACCCAGCCACCCTGTTACCACTGCCGAAAGGGACCAACATCCCATGACTGTCAGCAGATCCTTGCGGAGATGCATGGAATGCGGCCTAATCTGGCCAATCAGCCCTTGAAGGATGCGGACTACATCTGTTCCACGGATGGCAGCAGCTACTTACTTAATGGTGAGAGACGGGCAGGGGGGCTGCAGTGATGGATGCCACGAAGGTCATATGGGCCACTGCGCTCCCCAGAGGTACTTCTGCTCAGCGAGCTGAACTCATTGCCCTGAACTCATTGCTCTCCAGATGGCAGCAGGTAAGAAGCTTAACATGTACACTGATAGCCAGTATGCCTTTGCCACTGCCCATGTCCATGGGGAAATTTATCGGAGAAGGGGCCTTTTGACATCCAAAGGCAAAGAAATTAAAAATAAAAATAAAATCTTGGCATTATTAAAGGCCCTGTTCCTTCCCAAGAAATTGAGCATAATGCATTGCCCTGGACATCAAAAGGGGGAAAGCCTAGAGGCAAAAGGAAATTGTTTGGCTGATGAGGCAGCCAAACAAGCAGCCTTAGGCCCCCAATTATTAACTATAACCATGTTGACTGAAAAGGAGACAGCTAAGGCTCCATATTGGGACTATGATGAAACAGATTTGGACATTGTTCAGAAACTAAGTGCAGATTATGACCCCAATCGGCAGTGCTGGGTCTACCAAGGAAAGACTGTGTTGCCTACAACAATGGCAAGAATATTGATAGACCACCTCCATAAACTGACTCATCTAAGTGCCAAAAAGATGAAAACTTTACTAGATAGGCAAGAAATTGGAAATTACCTTCCCAATCAGAATTTATTACTGGAACAAGTAACTGCCAGCTTTCTGGCTTGTGCCCAGATCAATCAAGGGAAAACCAAACTGGATCCTGGGACTTGGCTTCGTGGCCATAGGCCTGGTGTTCATTGGGAAATAGACTTTACTGAAGTCAAACCTGGCATGTATGGTTATAAATATTTACTAGTTTTCATAGATCCTTTTCAGGATGGGTGGAAGCATTTCCTACCAAGCATGAGACTGCAAAAATGGTCACCAAGAAACTCTTGGAAGAAATCTTCCCCAGATATGGGATGCCACAGGTAATAGGATCAGGCAAGGGGCCTGCCTTCATCTCCCAGGTAAATCAGTTGGTGGCCAGGTTACTGAGGATAAACTGGAAATTGCATTGTGCTTACAGACCCCAGAGTTCAGGACTGGTAGAAAGAATGAATAGAACCATTAAGGAGGCTTTATCCAAATTAACGCTTGAAACTGGCTCTAAAGACTGGGTACAACTCCTACCTCTGGCCCTCTATCGGGACAGAAACACTCCAGGCCCTCATGGCCTTACTCCCTTTGAAATCCTATATGGAAGTCCACTGCCAGCTGTATCATTCTTTGATGCCAACATTTCTGACTTTGCAAACACCCCTCCATGCAGGCACATCTACGAGCCTTACAGATAGTCCAGGAAGAGGTCTGGAAACCTCTGGCGGCCGCATCCCGGGAGGAGCAGAGGACCCCTTCTCAACCCCACTCTTTCCAGATTGGCGATTCCGTCTGGGTTCGGAGGCATCAGACTAAGAACTTGGAGCCCCGCTGGAAGGGCCCATACTCTGTACTCCTGACAACTCCCATCGCCTTGAAAGTAGACGGGATTGTTGCCTGGATCCATGCATCCCACGTGAAGGCCGCACAACTAGAACATCGGACCCAGGGCCAGGCCACCCCACCTGAACCAGCATGGAAAGTTCAACGCTCCCAAAACCCCCTAAAGATAAGACTTTTACGTTCCCAATATTAGCAAGCATGCTTTTGTACATAAGTTTGGATGCTTCTGAAGCGGGATCTCCCCATGCCCGCCCCCATCTGACCTGGCAAATGCTTTCCCAAACAGTCGTCTGGTCCACCTCTGGCCTTTATCCACCTGGCACCTGGGGGCCTCGCCTCACCCCTGATTTTTGCCAACTGGCTGCTGGACTGGACACTTGGGACATCCCCACTTATGGTGCAGACTCCCTTAAAAAGGATATGCCTAGAAAAAGGGATGGAAGGCTTTGGGGTGCATGTTTGGGTTGTAGGAGCCCCAGGGCCTGATGTTTCTAGCCCAATCAGACTTTTATGTATGCCCTCAGCAGGATCAACCCAGGGGGTCGGGATGTGGGGGATATCAGGAATATTTTTGCAAGAAATGGGGATGTGAAACCACTGGAAGTGTCTATTGGAAACCAAGCTCATCTTGGGACCTAGTAACAGTGCACCGAAATTACACTAGCTCCCCTTTGGGTAGGGAAGACTGCCACCCTCCTGTCAATTGGGGGGCTTGGACCTGTGAGTCGGCCCTTTGTCTCCCTTTAAAAATTGACTTCACTATCCATGGGAAAAAAGGACTATGCTGTTTGGTTACAGGGAAGGACTTGGGGACTCAGATGGTACCTGCAGGGAGCAGATAAGGGGGTCATTTTTAAAATCTGCTTGGAAATTCGGGAACCACCCCCACGGGCCATAGGGCCAAACCTCGTCCTGCCTGACCAGCGACTCCCCTCCCAGCCTCAACCTGTAGCTCCAAGAGTGATTCTCCCCAAAGACAGTCCCACTAAAACCCCAGCCCCAACAACTAGGGATCACAGTACCACCTAGGCGGCTCCAGAGCCAGGGACAGGAGACCGGCTCTTTAACTTGGTCAAAGGAGCCCACAGAGCCCTCAATGCCATGTATCCCAAAAAAGGCCAAAGACTGCTGGCTTTGTCTTCTTCCGAGCCCCCCCCCCCCAATTATGAAGGTATAGCTATCAATGGGAATTTTTCAAACTATACTAAGCCCCCTCAGCAATGCTTAGACTC